AGATTAAATGTTATGTAACCTTTTGATTTCCCAATAATGACTATAATAGTCGACCACAACTATAAAATCCTGATTGGGTGATTTGGTATTTCACTTGATATCATTAATTTCTTAGGTTTGTTTTTTTGTGTATTCCAGACATGTTTCACAAGACTTTACTAAATCTTTAATTTGTTTGTTAATGCCTGGCCAAAATACAGTTTCTCTTGTTTTTCTTTTTCTTTCTTTTATGTTATGCAGTTTGCTACTACATTTAACGTAATATCTTTGAGCATGTTTGTTTTTATTTCTTTGAGGGTTTCTTCTGATGATGAACAGTTTGAATAAACCATATGCATTTGAGCGATCATTTCATCCTCCTGGATTTCTTCTTTAGTTTCATTTCCTTGTTTTCCTTCAATCCGTTTTACTTTGTTTAGAGTAGATTTTTCTTTTAGCTGCAACTTAGCTTTGTTCGTGTCTACAACTTTTACTTTATTTAGTAGTTTGATAGCTTTCAAGTCTTGTGAAGTTTGTAAGCTAAGAACGAGTTAGCTTGTTGTTTTAACTACATAGAATTTAACTAACTTTTTACAACTTTTGTAGTAACACACCATCTTTGATGTTCCAAGAACTGGAATGTGATTTCCTCCATAACCACACAGTTTAACATTTGTATAAGTGCGATTATCACATAATGCTAGGTGGTCGTAGACTCTTTTTGGCATAAAATCAACTTCAGCTCCAGTGTCAATTTTTCCATGTACCAGTTTATTATTAATTTTAAAGATTATCAAAGCTTTTTTTTTACCATTTATTTCACCAGATAATACAGATTCAACATGGTATTTTACAGAGCAGATTTTATTTTCGTGTATGTTTTTTGAGTTGCAGCAAGTTGCATTTGCTTGTCTTGGTTTTATGAATTTCTTTACCACGTCAATATCTTTTTCGAATGCAATTGATTTAATTTCTGCATTTGCAACTTCTTCAGCTCTACATATGTCAATTGCTTTAGTTAAATCTAAATCCGCTCCTTTTCTCAGTATATTAATTTGGACATTGTTTGATTTGATTCTGTCAATTATTTTGTATAATGTCAGAACATCTTGAGTGTTTTCAAACTCGTATGTTTGACCCAAACTTTTTAAACCAGTTACAAACATGGCAATACTTATTACAGGCCTTTCCGTTGCGAATCCGTATTTTTGACTGGGGCAGCCAATCTTACAGAAAGTTTTTTAAAAGTTCGATTTGTGAGTAGTTGACTGTTACATAAAAAGGTTAAAAAATACAAAAAAAAATGATATTCTGGAACGAATATGCCTACGTTAACGAAGATCTCAGCGAAAGAACTATAAATATTCTTCGCCGAAGCCAAAGAAATTCGTACCACAAGTAAATACGCTAAAGTGGTTTACAATAAAATAATCGCCAAGTCCTAAAAGAATATACTACTTATTTATTTTTTTTTTTTCCCCAAAATAATTGGCTACAAAAATGGCTAAATTCATTAACAATAACTTTGAAAAAACTTTTAAATTTTTTCAAAGTAACAATTTTAACTTAGACGATGAATCTGCAGGGTCGACGACGGAAAGTTAGACCAATTGAACCTCCTTCAATTTTTCCAAACATTCCAGCTAGTGTGGTACCACTACTAAAGTGTTGTCTTTTATCAGAACTGAAGAACTTTGTCTTCTTCAAATTTATTTATCATTGCTGCTTTTAGATACAACTGCATAATTTGTTTCCATTTTATCCATGTAACAGCTATATTGGATTCATTGAAGTCTATTTTGTTTGGCTTTGGCAAAAAATGTTCCATTTTCTTCTTTTTTTTAAAGTAAGTACATTTCCAAAATCTCTTCTTAAAATGTCTTCAGTTCACTTCTGGTACCATGTAATGTCTTTTTATTTATAATGAAGAGAATTCAACGTTGGTTTTTATTTCATATTTATTTCAATATTTTTATATTAAATTATTACAACTAGTTTAAATATAAAACTATGTGTAGTTTTGTGTCGAAGCTCCAACTGTCATTTAGTTCAGCACAACGGCTTTTAAGCAAGAACTCCTTGTGCAGAATTCCCTCAAGAGAATACTTTTGTAATCAGTTTTCATGCAATTCACAAAAAGGAATTGCTTGTTTTGCTATCGCTGATTGCTATTCTGAATAAGCGTTATAAACAATTGTCCAGAGGGAATTGTTTTGCATAACAATCGTTACAATAATTAAATTTTTATTTTTAGAAAACTTTATTTTAAAAAGATTTTTGTGATTAGACCATTATATTAAATACATAATAAAATAAAATAAAGTCTTAAGTTCTTAATTTTTAAATTGCATTAGTAAGTTTGAATGGTTGTTATAAATTTACTAGAAAATACACAATTTTAGTAGAAAATATGAAATTTTACTAGAAAATATGAAATTTGACTAGAAAATATGAAATTTTACTAGAAAATATGAAATTTTACTAGAAAATATGAAATTTTACTAGAAAATATGAAATTTTACTAGAAAATATGAAATTTTACTAGAAAATATGAAATTTTACTAGAAAATATAAAATTTTACTAGAAAATATGAAATTTTACTAGAAAATATAAAATTTTACTAGAAATCACAAAATTTTACAAGAAAATATGAAATTTTACTAATCTTTTTAGTTATCTTCATTTTGTGTGTAACTCTCTTTCCACTTTCTTTATTTGAATTCACCTCCTCAAGGCCATGAAGGCCGCTACAGTCGAGAAGGCTACTTTAGTTGCAGTTACAACTCTTTCATAACTCTATAACTCCAAAACATGAATCTTGATAAACAACTGCGTGGAGAAACAAGTTGATCACGGTACTACCAGAGATGTGGTGGGGATCCAACTTATAACTTCTCGCATATAAGGCAAGCGCTCTAACCTACTAAACCACTACTGCATAATTGATTACTCAGTAGAAAAAATGCGCTAATGATAACTATTACTTAATGAAAATGATAACTGAGTCATTCCCAGGTTCCAAAACTTTGTTGATAAGTGTAAATTTACATTTAAATAACGTCGATTTTTTAAAGACGTATATTCATCTAACAATAAAGAAAATCGCGACCCGCTAGATATTTCTTTTGTTATCTCTAAAACCATAGTTTCTTTAGCTAAATCATACCCATTAAATGGGAATGATTTTCTGATGAAATCACTTTTTGTTATGGCACTTATTGAGAAGCCATCCACTTTTGCTAGCTTTGACACAATTTCCTCATTAGTCTGCTGTTTAACAAACAATGTGATTATCTTTTGCACAATTTTAATTTCCAAAACAGTATCTTCATCCAGTAAGCTTCATATTTAAATCCAAATCTTTATGTGCGTTTTTTAAATGATGTAGGAGCCCACTTGTCGAAAATCCTTTGCATATTATTTTTACATAGCAATTTTTGCAAATTGCAGATTCGCCAGATTTTTCTTTACAAAAATACTGCCATGCTTTGAATCCATTTACAATTGACATGATATAACTAAATTGAATCTTAAACCAACTAAAATTAAAGTTAAAAATATTTCTTACATATTTATGTTATCTTACATATGACTTTAAATGTTTTCATTTATCGTTTTTTAAATAAAAAAATTATTAAATATTTCAATGATTCAATACAGAAAAAGTTTGAGAACTTTAAATACCATAAAAAGAAAAAATGCTTGTAATATTAACATCTTCACTTGTTCACAAATAATTTTGAAATTTAAAAATCAAATTTACTGTTTTTGTTGCAAGAAATCTTTATTTTTTACTCATATTTTATAATAACATGAAAAAAGAAAACATGGCAATGCAATGCATTCCTTGCGTTAGATAGTTTAAGATTCAATAACATTTCTTGTAGTGCTAGGTTTTAACATAAGGTATAAAACTCAACTGAATGCAATAGTATTTTTCTTATTTTTGGTTGAATTAGTTCAGTGATCATACGTAAAATTAAAAAATATATATATTCCCAAATATTAGATATCCCAGGAAATCTCGCTGCCACTTTTATCCCCAAAATCTCGCGATCCCGTTTGAGAAACCCTAGTAACAGTAACATGTATACTATGTAGCTCTAGTTCATCTATTATGCACTTTTTTTATACAACATTTTGAACTTGGTAACAGAAAGTGCTAGGTTTTAAATCTAGCCAGCCCGGCAGCTTTACCAAGTTGCAGTGTTTCATAGCAGCATTTAGTGCTAAGTAGTGTTTATTTTTTAGAGCTACAATACTTTTTAACCATCTGGCAATACAATTATGTCATATAAGATGTGCTGTGAATAACTAACATTATACAAACAGATTTTCTTTTTTTAAAAAATTTGGCAAGTTACACTTGGCTTATGTTCTTGTGATGCCTGCTGTTATAACTGATTTAAAATCTTTAGAACTGATGTTATGAGGTCTATTTAGTTTGTTAACTAAAAACCAAGAAATACTATAAACATGCAGAAATAAAAAATTTTTTTTACACTTTATATATTATTAATAAGTTTATATTGTATATTTTAGTTAAATTATCACAAAATAAATTAAATTTTCATAATTTTAAAATATTATAACATTTATAATCTAACAATTATATTTTTAAATCTAAATAAACTTTACTTAACTTATTAAATAACAAACTGCATTACAGGTTACTGCTAGCTGTATATAATTATATTATATATTATATATCTCTATGGTTTTTGAAAAATATCGTAATATTGAAAAATTAAATCTCAAATAATAAGGTACAAGGAACAATAATAAGGCATTAGATTATAAGCAATTAAAATCAAATTCGAATTTGCTGTATTTCATAAAATTTATTTAAACACTTAAACTTGTATTATAGAATAATTTCTTATATTTTAGTAATTAATGATTGAAATTGGGTTTTAGTAAACTTCTAAAACATCTTACAAATATTTTATTCATATACGCATATTTTAAAACAAACAAACATTAAATATAAATTAAATTAAACTTTTATTATTTTACTTACTTGTTATGTTAACAGTAACAGTGTAGCCAACTACTGAGTGATTGTTTTTTTGTTTGATAATATAACTAAAACTTGTGTTGTGTTCTTCAGAATTAACGCTTCGAATAAGCAAACTACCATTTTTTGTGTATAAATCTTTTTGAAGAACTTCCCACTTCTCAGATTTAGTTTTTTTTCTCCAAAATATTTCAGCAACTGGTGGAACGCTCTCATAAACTTTTAGAGACGGTAAAAACAAATAACTTCCATTTATAATGTTTGTATGAAAATCTTTAATTTCTTGATAATCAATAACTGAAAAAAACAAAAAAAATATTTAATAATAAATTTATAATAAGTAATATAAAGTACTAAAGAGTATACATTTTTTTTTATAGTTATATTACTTTTAAGCTTAAATTTTTTTTTTTTTAATAAAATAGTCTAACTATATATATAATTACTTAAGTTTAGTATTTTAAATACATAATTGTTACTTGAAAAAAGAATTTATTTTTACAATTAAAAGTAATTTGCATTAAAAAGTGTTAACTTTTACTTGCAAATGTAATTTACTGTATATGATTAGTCATGTAAAGTAATTTACTTTGGAAAGTAAACGTAAAAGTAAGATTTTATTTATGTAAGAAATTAACATTAAAATGTAATTTTTTTTTTTTTTTTTTTAATGTAAAAAAAGTTATTTATGAAGTAATAAACTTATGAATAAAAATAAACTACTTTTATGTGTAAAAGAAACAAATAGTTTGTGGGCACTGTTTGTGGGCACTTTTGGGAATCATTCTAATGCATGTGGGCTGTGTTTGGTGGAGCGTTGTGAAAGGATATATTTTCACGTATATCATGAAAGATGTTTCTATTAAAATTAGGTGCAAATAAAGTTATGTGGGTATATCACATATATTATGAAAGGTGATTCTATTGTAATTAGGTGCAAATAAAGTCATGCAGGTATACCAGTAGCGTAAAATAAATATAATCTCCAAGCAGCGTGAGAGCCATAGTGTTAATAGGGGCAAGGCTCCTAAATAATCATTGACTTTTTATAACATTTTTATTGTTGGAAAAAAATAGGCAAGTGACTGAAACAGCATGGAAAATAAGGAATCAAAGGTGAGCGGTCAATTTGACCAGCCAACTCGAGAAATTGATGGTCAATTGTTTTTTTTGGACAATCAAAATTTTTATTTTTTATTTGATTAAATCTTAATAATAGTTCTTCTTGACTTTATAAATACAAAAATAAGTTGATGCTTGAAGGGTAATAAATTCATATTATTTTAATAATAACAATTAAAATAAAATCAATGCTTTTTTTAAAAGTGCAAACAGACAATTGATAATTTTTAATTTATTTAAAAATAAGTCATTTCACTACAATGACTTTGCAAATGGTGGAAAAAGCTATAAGAAAAATAATATGTAAGATTGAATGAAAAAAAAAGTACAGATGAGATGATGTTCTTAATTCCATTCAATAATTTCAAGTAATAATGAAATGAGAATTTTAATTTCTGAAGTTAAAGAAGAAAAACACGCATTTTGTGTCTCTTGCTTGTTAAAATCATTTCAAAAACCATTAATGTTAATTAGTTAATAATAATGCTATTAACTCTTGCTTGCAGATACTATTTAAACTTTCTAACTTTTAGATACTGTTTAAACTATTTAAGGGGTAAACAGATTCTATCTGTTGACCAGCCTCACACCTATTCTTCATCTATAAGGTGGGCACAGATGCAGTTTTAATATAATATTTCCAGTTTAGGATGTTGAACGCTAGATCTTTTTGACATAATGCATGGGTTTTGCTTGTGTCTCTATTTTTATGACTAGGCAACTCATTCTAATGTCTCCTAATGAGGGTACAGCTCTAAAAATCAGTTTTATGGTACTGAGGCCGGCTGGTAGTCAGGTTTCATGAATTCTGTGGTAGCTCTCAGAGAGGCTGATTCCATCAAAAGCTGAAAAATATCAGAGTATTAACAGTGCCATGTTGTGCATGGATGGTGTCCCTGTTCGTACTTTAAGTGTGCATTATTGAGGCCACATTTGGAGCCCTTAGTTACGACTTAGGGTTTATTAACAGTAATGAGGCAATTGCTTAGACTATTGAATAGTGTCCTATGTACAATCTATGCTTTGAGTCAAAATCTTTAACAAATTTAAAAAATGACCAAAGTACCAAAAACTATAAAACAGAAAAAAAACATCATCATCACCAAGTTCTTTAAACCTATCAACCACTAATATTCATGGTCTTCGAAGTAACTTTTCAGTTCATTAAACCTACTTGCTCTTTGTGAGACTAATTTGAGTTCAACTGTCTCATTTTGTGATCTTAGTGTTGATGGTTATCTTCCATTAATTGGTAAAGACTCTAATAGTCACATGCTTGGCCCAGGCATTTACATTCGTAAGAATTCACCCATTTGTCAGGAAACAAAGTTTGAATCCTCAGAATATTCTTTTTTGTACTTTTTTGTACTTCACTCTTTTTTCACCTTTCTTTTTGTTCCATCTCGCTTTCCTTTAACTCAAGATTGCACTCTTTTTCATGTTATTTCTGATCAAATTGACCGAGCCCTCTTTCTTTATCCGTCAGCCAATATTGTTGTTGTTGGTGACTTTAATGGTCATCATACTAAATGACTTGGCTCTAGTGTCAGTGACTCTGCAAGTGTTAAGGCCCACAACTTTTGCCTTTCTCAATCCCTAACTCAAATAGTCAACTTTCCAACTCGCTTTCCAGACAACCCGAATTATTTACCTTCTCTACTCGACTTAAGTCTTGTTTCTGATCCAAGTCAGTGCTCAGTTTCTCCACATTTACTCTTAGGTGCTTCTGATCACAGTTTGATCTCTCTAAAATTATTATTTCATTCTTCTTCATCATCAAAACCCCCCTATCATACCTCTTACAACTACCTTTAAGCTGACTGGGACAATTTCCATGATTTTCTTTAAGACAGCCCTTAGGTAAAAATATTTTGTTTTCTTGCTAACAAATGTGCTTCTTACATAAATTTGTGGATTCAGGCTGGCATGGAATCTTTTATTCCCTCTTGACGGTTTCAGGTCAAGCCTCGCTCTTCTCCATGGTTTTCCTCACATTGTTCTGCAGCAATTTCCAATGAAAACTGTTACTTACATATCAGGTCATGAAATCTCGTATTTTATGACCTGATATGTAAGTAGGTCATGAAATCTCGTATTTCATCACAAAGACTAGGCTTTCGTGACTCCTGGAGAATCTTTAACAGTATCAATAATTAGTTCAAATCTATTATTCCACCTCTCTTGTATGGTTCAGACTTTGTCACCTCACCTAAAAACAAAGCTGAATTGTTTACTGAGAATTTTTCATCAATACATCAATATTTCATCAATACATCAATATTTCATCAATACATCAATATCATCTCTTGATTCAATTAATTGCGTTCTACCTGATATAGCCGTTAAACAGGTCGATTCATTTCTTGACATTCATAACACTCCAGCTACTGTATCAAAAGTGGTTTCCTGCTTAGACTCCTATAGCTTGTGGTCCGGACAACATACTTGTTATAGTCTTGCGAAATTGTTCTCTGGAGCTGTCATCTATACTTTCGAAACTAATTAACAAGTGCTTATCACAGTGTTGCTTTCCAGTCTGCTGGAAAGCAGACTAGAAAACAACACTGTAATAAGCACTTTATGTAATAAACTAATAAACAATAATTGAATTTCTATAGGTAAAAAACTCTAACTTGCTTGATAGGTCTTTCTCCAATGACCATGTGCATTTCGAGAATGCGCTTTTTCAAATTTAGAGTCTAGTAAATAACTAAAATTACTTTAAAACCGGAAGTGAAACAACATTGAATGTTGAACGCTGTCTCTAGCAATTATAATCAGGATGTTATTTGGAAAATGCATATATTAAAATTTCATAAAATCATTTATATTTTGAAAAAGTGTTTAAAATAGTTTTTTTGTTTATAATGCGCTACTTTTATTATCAGCAGATTGTTAAAGCGAAAAGAAGTTCAAGTGAACTTTTTCTTTAATCCTTTTATTTTTCAATTTTTTTTATCTATGTTTAAAAAAGGTTCCATTAAACTAACTTTTAATCAATATAATTCAATAACTAAAAATTAATAACTTATTAATAATTTATATCAATATAATTCATTATATAAAAATTATTAATTTCTTAATAATTTTATTTTATTAATTCTACTACTTAAAATATATTCAACAGTGGTGTACACTGGACTTTTAGATGTTTGAGTTTTGACACTTACAGGTATTGTGCAAACTCCAAACATTTGTATGTTCATACTTATGTCAAATAAGAATGTTTTGCAAAAAGTTGTGGTGATTGGAGCTTGGGGACAAAAACCCCCAATTTTTTGGCCCACCCAGCCCTTAACGTGGGAGCAACAAGTTGATAAAATAATTTTTTTAGTATTTTTATCTAAGTTTATATTCATCAACAAATTTCAAATTTCATCCAATAATTTCTTATTTTTCAAAAATTATGACCATATAAAGTTTTAGCCCCCTCAATTTGAGGGGGCTGTAAACTTTATAGGGTCATAAAAACTAAAAACTAAGAGGTTATTGCATGAAATTTGAAATTCATTGATGAATATAAACTTAGATAAAAATACTAAAGAAATTATTTTGTCAACTTGTTGCTCCCACGAAAAGGGCTGGGTGGGCCCGAAAATTGGGGTTTTTTAATCCCCAAGCTCCAATCACCACAACTTTTTGCAAAACATTCTCATTTGACATAAGTATAAACATACAAAAGTTTGGAGTTTGCAAAATACGTGTAAGTGTCAAAATTCAAACATCTAAAAATCCAGTGTACACCACTGTTAATTAGATATTAAATTTATCATTGTTAAAACTTATCCAATAATTACTGCATATTAATAAAAACCAGTAGTGTTTCTGCTTTTTCTGCCCTGAACTCATTAACTCGCTTCATTGACAAAAGTTTTTTTGCTTACTTATTTAAATTAATTTGATTTTGTTTGATTTCCTTTTTTCTTAAATGATTGCATTTCTTCTTTTATTTAAATCAATTTCATTTTGCTGATGGTTGATCTATTTTAGAAAATTTAGGAAAATAAATTAAATTTTATGTTAACACTGTATTTGTATGTGAAAGTTAAATTTTGTTATGAGGATTACAGTTCTTAAAAAAAAAGAAAAAAGGTAAAGAGAAATACTTGCATATATATATATATATATATATATATATATATATATATATATATATATATATATATATATATATA